TGTCAAAGAATAAGTTCAGTCACAAATGGGAAATTTGTATCACCCTCCACAAAGTGGGAGAAGCTGGTGATAGTGGTGAGATTATAAGACCCAGAAGTTGCGAACGACTGGAGTGAAAGTGTTTCCTGAATATGACAGGGCTACTGCACTCATGAGAAGTCTTAGCAGCTGTGAATGTCTGCACAAGATAAGACTAAGATTAAGCTGACTCTCTAGCATGGACTTGGAAGGGGTTTATGAGCTGCCTCTCTTAACTGAAAAGCTCTGGATGTTTCTAGGTTCTAGGGTAGGGATATTTGGTTTTCTTTAAGGATGTGGCCCTGGTAATTGACCATATTCCAGTGGATGGCTCCATTTCCAGGAATATATGGACAGTACAAATTGGTCTTAATTTTTTTAAGATGATACAAAGTTGGGAGTGAGTAGGCATGTAGGAATGAATCTGGAAGAGTTCGGGGAGGAGTTGGGATGACTATGATAAAAGTATGTGGTATGAATTTTTCCATGAATGATTAAAGTACATTTAAAAATGTGCATCAGAGAACTAGGTTGGAGTGGGGTATGTACACATATATATCCTAGACCTTTTTATTACAAGTGCAGTATAAAATGACAACTTGGGCACTATAAAGAATGAACTGTTTGAATTCATTTACTGTACATCAGAATATGATCTCTTCCAGAAGGCAAATGAATTCTGAGCAAGGATCAGTCATTTTCATATATATATATATATATATATATATATATATATATATATATGTTATTAGTTGATTTGATTCCTCCCACAATATGTGAAAGTGATGTTTTTATTGCCACAGAGAGAACACTAATTCAAGAACAAACTAAGATCAAGTGTAATTAAGAATATTTCAAATTCCCAGAGGACCTTCTGTGCGTTCATTACTTTGTATGCACTAATGCTGGCAAAGGTAATATGAGATGAATAGTAGTCCTCAGCTGGAGACCACTGTGCCTTTGTGTTAATACTTGGTGATGCCTAGAAATAATTTCGGTTTTCATAGCTAAGTGTGACAGGTGAGAATAGGTATGCTCCTGACATCTAAGGAATAAAGGCCAAGAATACTAAGTCAGAACAGTATCTCACAACAAAGAATTATCTGCAGGTAAATGTTAAATGTAGCCTGATGGGGAACCCCTGGTGTAAACCCCAATATACAGATGTTCAAAGTGTAGTTCAAAGAGTGTCATGAGCAAGAAGATAGATACGCCTAGTTAGTATAACAAAAGTTATATTTATTATGCTGGGTTCATCACACAAGGTTCACACTCTAAATTCCTAACTATGGTCCTAAGCCTATCTTCCCAAGGCTACTCATCTATGTGACGTATCTTAGCTGAAAGTCAGGTCTAGTCTTGAACAGAACTCTCTGATTTGAGGGTCAGGATCCTGAGGGATACTCTCCAATTCCAAGGCAGATGGAATTTCTTCAGATGTGCAGAGCAGAGCATTGCTCCTGGTCGGTGCTTATAGACTGTCCAGTGGGTGTCATGGGGCTCTAGGACTGTGTCAGGTTATTTTGAAAGAATGATGTCACTGGGTTCTGGTTATCAGGTGCAGCCTTGGGTGTAGTGGGGTGCTGTGGATATCACTCTGTATAAATAAAACACTGATTGGCCAGTAGCCAGACAGGAAGTATAGGCGGGACTAACAGAGAAGAGAATTGAGGGAACAGGAAGGCAGAGAGAGAGACTGCCCACAGCAACCACCAGGACAAGGAAGATGTAAGGTACCAGTAAGCTACGAGCTATGTGGCAAAGTATAGATTAATAGATATGGGCTGAATATAAGAGTAAGAGCTAGACAATGATAGGCCTGAGCTAATGGCCAAGCAGTTTAAATAATATAAGCGACTGTATGTTTATTTTATAAGTGGGCTAAGGGACCGCCGGGGATTGGCGGAACCTGGAGAGAAAACTCTCCAGCTACAGTGGGGTTCCTGACTACACTATTTTACATGTCTAAAGGGCATTTTATGTTCATTACAAGGAGTTAAATCCAAACCAGCAGCCAGTGATGTTTATGTGGGATTTGAATATAACATGAATTGTTAAATGGTTTTAAGAATAGAAAACCTGGAGCCAGATATTGGGGTGAAAGCTGAAAGATCAGAAAAAAAGAACAAGCCACAGCCAACCTCACCTTACCAACTCCTCAGCCGATCCTGTTTCCACGAATCCTCAGACTGAAAGCCTCTGAGTCCTCACCCTTGAGGGTCTCAGTTGAACGGCTGCTTAGTTCCTGTCTCCTCACACCTTATATACCGTTTTCCACCCAGCTGCATTACATCCTGGGATTAAAGGCCTGTGTGCTTCCCAAGCAAAGGCATGAGATCTCAAGTGCTGGGATTAAAGGCGTATGTCACCACTGCCTGACTCTGTTCCCAGTGTGACCTTGAATTCACAGAGATCCAGACAGATTTCAGCCTCTAGAGTGACAGGATTAAAGGTGTGTGCCACCACTGTCTGACCTCTATTTAATCTAGTGGCTGGCTCTGTCCTCTGATCCCCAGATAAGCTTATTAGGGCACACAATATATTGCCACATTTAAATTCAGGTTCTACTGACCAGGCAATTTCTGCTGTAACACAACAGTGGACTGAGTTCTAATTTGCTGCAACCTTTAAAAGAAAGTTTTTTTTCCAGAAAAACAAACAACAACAAAAACAGTAAACTTGCTGGTTTCTCTGTTCAAATCCTAAAACTGAAGACATCACCATCTGCCCTGTTCTCTGGAGCACAGTTTCTTTGACAAGTGTCGCATATGAAAGTGTGTCACAAAATATGATGTCATTTTTAGAAGGAGCATTAATCAACAAAGTGACAAGAACATGGGTCCAAAGCCAAGCACCCCAGACTTCAAAACGAAGCTCTGACAGGGGCTTTCATGGGGCTTTGACCAACTTTCTTACCCATCCTGGGCCTTATGTTGGTGTCCATGATCCGTGCTGCCTCCTGAGGCCATGCTGACGTCTGTGGTCTTTGCTGCTGCTAGAAACCATGTGGCAGTTTGTGATCTGTGCTGCCGCTGACTGTTACAGGCAAGAAAGCTTCTTTCGCAGCAGTATGTTGATGACTGCAGACTCATAATTGGGGGCTTCCGTGACAACCACCTCTCCCCCCAAAATAGAGAAAGCAAAAAGGAAAACAGTCTAGACAGGAAGCCATCGAAGAGAGTCCTTAAAAATTGTGATAAAGAGACTGAGGTGTGGCTCTTCACAGTAGATGGCTTCTTCAGGCGTCAGGATGGGAAGGACTCAGTTATCTTTAAGGGGCTGGCTGCTGGGAGACTGACCCTACTCCAGTGAGTATATGGGCAACACAGATTGGACTTGGTGTTTTTATTTATTTATTTATTTATGCTGCTTTGGGAGAGGGCACAGGGTGGGAGGGTGGACCTAGGAGGAATGGGAAGCAAGTGTGATGGGGTGCATTGTATGAAATCCCCAAATAATCAATAAAAACATTATGTTGGAAAGAATAAAACTCCCTGGGCCTTAATGTTCTCATCTGTAAAATGGAAGAAAAAGTAGTGTCTTTTGATAGGATGATATAGATAATGGCTGAGATTGTTTTAGAAGAGAGTCTGGTACACGCTGAATGAACTGTGAGCTGCTATTCATTAGCATTACACATGTATTTATTTATAAATGCCTAATTATGAAGAATTTTTACTTCAGTTTTCCTGATACTTCAGATTGTGCATCCAGCTGATTTCACGGTCCCTGCCACCTCCGTCACTGTAGCTTGTTGTTCATGGGAGCCATCTCTTGTGAAGTCAGATCACCCGGTGTGAGCTGCAGGACCAAAGAATCACTCCCTTGTAGAAGGAAAACAGCTGCTCATTCTGTCCTACACAAAGACTAGGAAGGCAAACTCGGAACTTAATTATCCAATAAAGTTTTGAAAGACTGTGTTTAGACAAGCTCACGGTGTACTTATCAATACTTACAAAATGGTTTATTTGGCAGAAGAATCCCCTCAGCATTAATTATTATAAAAGAGCCCCACGGGAGTCATCCTACATACACGTGTATTGACCTTCAGGCGGTTCCTGTAGATTTTCATTAGTAGAACCCTCCTTTTGGAAGTAGAATGAAAAAGCTCTAAATTGATTCCCTTTAAAAGGCATCGGAACAATTTAATAAAGGAATTTGCTTTCAGACTGTGTTGATGCAATTGGCAGAACCCACATGGCTGCATAGGTACCCGCTCCCCACAGAGCATTGGTCTTGCAATGACTAAGTACAAAGTCATTCCAATTAAGATATGGTTTTATTGCTTTAATTCTGTCTAGCCAGAATGACTGTGGTTTCTCCAACCGTTCTAGTGCAGAATAAAAAAAAATAATTATGAAAATATGTCCTCAGGCAAACATTCTCATCTAAGGTAACATAAAATGATTCAAAGTAGTACTGGAATGCACGCATCACTGGCCAGTTGCTGTTTTAGACAATGGAGATAAAATTGAAAGTGAGACAAGGTTCTTCTCTTTCAATGAGGGAGACAAGCAATCTACAAGTAAACAGATAAAGAAATATGATCGTTTCAGGCAGCAGGAACCCGGAGAAAGGAGAATGAAGCAATATATTTCAGAATAGCAGGGAAAGGATGAGAGTGGAAAGGAGATATAGGGAGGGCTGAACACAAACTCAAGAGAGTTTTAGACTCACTGAGTATGGAAACTCATTAGTGATAATGCCTACTTCCAGCTTCTCCATCTTTAATGAGTCTTCCAGGTCCCACCCTTGTCCTCATGGTGGTTAAGAGGACTATGAAGTTCCAGCCATCACATCCATGCCCCAGGCAGCAAGAAAGCAAAGAAGCATCTTGCACCTTTGGAAAACTCCCTGGCATTCTATTGGACATTTGCATCTCATTGCAGTGAGCTAAGTCACCTGGTCCTCCAAACCTTTAAGAAGATACAAAGTGTAGCCTTTCGATTAGGTAGTATTGTATATGTATTGATTACCTAGATTAGTGGCTGACACCAGATCCCTGAGAGGAAATGACTTCACAGAGAATGGCTTTATTTTGGTTCAGAACTGGAAGGTACAGCCCATCACAGGGAGTAAAGAAAGCATGGCGTTGGGATTGGGTCTCAGCTGTGGTGACTGGAGCATTAGGTTGCTTGATCGCATCTAAGTAATCTGGAAGCAAAGAGAAGACAGAAAACAATAGTGGGTCATGAAATCTTGAAATTGGTCTCCCTCTGAGATCCACTTCCTTCCAGTTAGGCACAGCTCCGAAAGATTCCATGCATGGCCTCTTAAAAACAGCTCTCACAAATGGAGATCAAACGAGCAAACATAGGAGCCTATGGAGGACATTTTGCATTCAGATCATGAGTGAGTCCAGTGATTAACTGCGCTTTTGTTATTTTAAAAGAGAACACCAGCTATGGAACAGATGCTCATAGAATCTGCCATGAGGACTACTTTAGAATGTACTGTCATGAATGCTTTTCTGTAGAGAAGGTGTTTGAGATCCATTTTGACAGATAAGGAGGAGTAAGGATGTGACCAACTCCAGGAAAACAGGTACAGTGATAAGAGCATGGACCCTGGAGAGGGCATGGGATGGTTTTGTAAAGAAGGATGTGAGGTGAATGTTATGAATCAGGAAGAAAGTTCTTGGCATAAAGAGAAAACTCAAAGAGCTATTCAAGGGCAACTGTAAATTATGGAAGGTGATAAGCAGAAATGATCTGACCGGATTTGAAAGTTTGTAAGAACTCTGTGGAAAGTGAACAGTATGGAGGATGTGATTTGGAAAGGATATTTTCCATCAAGCAAAACCTTCCAGTGTAAATACATAGGGTCCTCAGCATGTGTTGCTAATCTGGATGCCATCACTTCTGTTACCCATTCTGGTTCACTATCTCCCTTCGTATACATGGCTGCATCAGTAGATACCCTCACTCACCAGTTCTTGTCTGGACAGAAGTGGGGTGGGAGGGGACACAAGCAGATTAGTGAACAGTACAGAGTGAGCTTGTTGGGGAATTTTGCCTCTCTCCTGCTTGAAAGCATGGTTTAGTTGGATTTTGCTATTGTAGCCAGCTCCCACTAAATAATTTTCCATGTCTATACTCAGTACTGGTGGCCACTTATCATCTTTCAGGAATGTTAAAGGCTTGACTGCTTCTGCACAGTGATGATGCACTACCTCTATAGCTCTGTTGTGGCTTGAATCTGGATAGTATCCTGCAAAATTCTCTGTGCAAAATTCTTCATCTCCAGAAGGGCAATGCAGGGAATTATGGTGGGCCTAGAAATGTGTATTAATGGGGGGAATCATAGTCAAGCATGCCTTCCAAGGGGATTGTGGGACCTTGTTCCCAGTCCCCCTTCAGCTTTCTAGGTCATGATGTGAGTAGTTGTTTCACTACATGTTCCTGCTACTCTTACCAGAGATCCAAAACAATGGGTCCACCTCGTCTAGGACTGGAGCCTCTATGACTGTTAGCTAGAGGACTTTTTCTTTTTATACATTAATTGCCATGGCATTTTGGTATAGTAATATGAAACTGACTGATTCACGCTCCCTCAATTTTACCCCCGCCTTTGTAAAGAGATCAACTATTATACATTCCCCCACGACTCAATTTGAACATGTTATTTGTTTACTACAGGAGCAAAAATGATACACTCTTCCCAAGTGCGAAGTACCACACAACATCCAATTTAATCTCTAGATGACTGTGTGTAGTAGGAATTATCGCTGCCTTCAATGTAAAAATATTCACTTCTAAAATACTAATACATTCAAAACTTAGAAGTGGGACTAGGCATCTAAGTGGCTTGGCATCTCATTCTGAGTTCTTAATCACCTCTGCTCTTCCAGCTGCAGCATCGAGTTTCAGTTTCAGCATTTCTCTTCTTTTCCTTTATTTCGGTGCTCATGGCATAGTCATTATTTTCCCCCAGCCCTTTTGTTTTTCATTTGTTGTGCATACTACATATGTGCTTTTGAGGGACTTCCCTGTCAAGCTCTTTATGGATCATCTGTGAAAACGAAAGCAGAGAGAGGGTTATTTCTCACCCACCACGGGCACATCGCAGCGGCAGAGAAAATAAAGTTCAGTTCTTTCGAGTGACAACCACAGATAATAGATACTATCAAACCAGGAATCTGAGAGTGGATTGTAAATCAAAACAGCACAATGTGCAATCAAACAGATAGGGCACGGGAGCAATAAAGGCACTTTCCATCTATATATTTATCCACTCTCAGCAGATGGTGCTGGCTTCGGAGAATCGGAGCTCCTCGAAGTGCCAAATCTCATTGCTGAGCAAGGTTGGATGCTGACATGTTATTTCACACCCAAGCATCTAGCTGCCACTCTGGACTTCATGGCAGAGCCTACCAGCTCCCGTGACGGCTGTAATAGAGGAGTGCACACTTTCAACAGTGGCAAGGGAGGATAATAAGGTCCAGCAGTGAAGTGTGTGCTGGAGAGGAGGCTGACAGATGCCACCGTGATAAAAGGGTCGCACGCGTCTTCACTGTAAACCATGTGAAGCTGGGGAGCACTTTTGTAACATGATAGGGAGGATGCTGTGTAAGACTTACAAAACCTACTTTCCTTGGAGGGAGCCAGAGTAGAAGAACTACTGAAAGTGCTGTGAATTTTGTTCAGTGGGTGCTCATTACCCTGGTTACAAGGCAGGAGTTTATGGAACTTAGAGAACATACTGCCTGGGTAGGCTCATCTTGCTTCTGAATTAGCACTTTCCTGGTTTGCAAACAGGGTATGGTTCCCAATAAGCCAGTGTAGCCAGCTCTTAATGTAAGAAGGTAAGCCTGTGGACTTTTTGCTTAGTCAAGGTAGGACTCAAGAGGGACCGGGTAAATAGCTTGTCTAGTAACATGTTTACCTTGTAAGCACAAGGGCCTGATCTGATCCTCAGTGCCTATGTAAAGAAAGCTGGGTGTGGTGGTGTGTGCTTGTAATCCCTTTCAGGTGGATCTCTCAGACCTTCTGCGTAGCTAGTGTTGCCTACCCTGCAAGTTCCAGGTCAGTGAGAAACCCTCTCTCAAAGAAAAATGAAGGTGGGTCACAGCTGATAAATGGTACCTGAGTTTATATTCTGCTCCCTGTATGCATACATACTCACATGTACACTCTCTACCCCCCCACGAGCACACACACATGCATGTGAAGACAAGCACGACTCACCAAGAGAAATCAGGAATAAGAAATTCATGCCATCCAAAAGAGGTACAAGAGGTGGGCTTCCCAAGTTTGAGCAGAGCAATCTAGCATTTGCCCTTGACATGGTAATACCATTTGTGTTATGTCTGCACTCAGCTGGCAGAAGGTACTGGAATTGCTCACGATTGCCGCCGCAGGAAAGGTATTTTCGAGCAATACTCAGGTATGCTGTGCATATCGAGTTTGTATGAACTTAGAGGAAGAGCCAGGAGCTCCAGAGCCTGTTCACTGATAGAGACCTTTTTTGTTTTTTTGTTTATTAGTTTGGTTTGGTCCATGTTATATAGCAAATCTTTGTGGTGGGGGTTAAAGGCCCCATATGTCTTTAATAGTACCATGTATGTGGTATATATTCATGCCACATGAAACATCACATTAATTGTTCACCTAAACCATATTAAATCTAGTTTTGAGTATCCCCAAGGCCAAAATACCTTTTTTGCTGTTGTTTGGACTAGATCCCCAAATGGCTTATGCAGACTAGTAAACTTGAGCGAGAGGACTGTCACCTCACTGCCCCAATGGTGTTATTGTTTGTGCTCCTGGCCAAAGTCTTGTCCAGCCTCACTATCCCAGTGTCCAGTCAGGGCACACGCATCCGACTCAGGAGCCTTAGGCCACCAGCTTCCCTTGTTTCCCTTCTCTTTTCCTGTACGATTCATTGGATGTGCTCAGTCCTGAGCGTTACACAGAAATGATGCTCAGCTTCCTGAACAGTCTCAGAATTCATCCTGACTGTCCTCATTTTAGATCCATGGAAAAATTCTACTACAGAAACGTGTTTTTAATCTCCTCGTTAGATCTACTCCACGAGGGCTATAGACACTACACAGGAGCTGCCAAAGGCCTGACCTCAGACCAATACTGTTTTTAAAAACACATATTTTAAAATATTTTTCTATAAACATTTTCATATTTTTATAATTATATGTAACATACTTTTATATTTAATATAACTATTTTATATGTATATAAAATATATTATGTATTTAAATTTTTTCTATTTTAAAATGGTTTTGAAAATACCTACACAGTCTCCTTGTTTTTTCACCTGGGCCTCAAATGCCTAAAACACTATCTGTCCCTTTAAGAAAAAGTCTGGGACTGTTCTAGATTCCCAAACAAAATCCCAGAAAAAACGACTGCTGTGGTTGCCACACCGAATCAGGAAAGTCATTACAGCCCCATTTTAAGCCAGAGATGAGTTGTCAGTCAACTGAGAGGAACTGGAGGAAGGAAGGAAATCTCGTGTTAATAATCCTCTAAGAACCTGCTGAAATGTGAGGAAGAAAAGCCTTGCCGTAGAGAATCTGAAAAGTTTCTGAGGCAGGAACACGTTATCATTTCTTTCATTCTCTGTGCTCCAGGTTCCCAAATTTAAGTTGGTTGGGTCTAAACTTTAATCCAGCCTTGCAGCCTGTGAAGAATACCATCTCTCTCATTCACAATTTATGGTTCTGTAAACTATAGTCCAGGGTCCAGCTCCTAGTTTTTGTAAAAATAGTTCATTAGAGCAGCTATGACTGCTCATCTTTGCATATATTTTTTGTTACTTTGATGCCTCAGTGGCAGAAATGAGTGGTTTTTAATAGAAACTATATGAGCCATACATTTAAACAGTTGGCATTTGACCTTTTAAGGAAGAGAGGTTTCATGATCCAAGGTATAGTTTTGTTAAAAATAAAAAGGGATAAAACAATAATTATCACATCAGAGTTGGATAAGACAGACAAACAGAATCAAAAGAACCTAAGACAAAGTGCAAGAACCAGAGACCCACTCATTTGTTCTCACACTCAGGAATCCCTTAAAAACACTAAACTGAAAGTCATGCACAGAAGACCTGGTGCAGACCCATGCAGGACCTTACACGTTGCCTCATTCTCTGTGAGTTCATATGAACTTTGATCAGGTTGATTTAGAGGGCCTTGTTCTCTTAGTGTCCTTTATCCCCTCTGGCTCTAACAATCTTTCCACCTCCTCTTCTGTTGGCTTACCTGAGCCCCAAAGGGAGGGATTTGACGAAGACATCCCTTCAAGTGTTGCATGTTCCATGGTCTCACACTCTTTGTGTAATATCTGGCTGTGGGTCTCTGAATTTGTTCCCATCTGTTGCAGGAGGAAGCTTCTCTGATGATGGCTGAGCAAGGCACTGATCTAAGAGTATACCAGAATGTCTTTAGGAGTCATTTTATTGGTACATTTTTTTTTAGAACAGTAATATTTGGTTTTAACCTAAGTCCCTGAGCTATATATAGTCTCTGGTCTTGGTCACCCAAGTAGTGTCCGGTATGGGTTCCATCTCACAGAGTGGGCCTTAAGTCAAATCAAATATTGCTTAGTTATTCCTGAGAGTTCCATGCCACTACTGCCCTAATGTATCTTGCAGGCAGGACATCACTGTAGATAAGTGAGTTTGTGGCTGGCTTGGTGTTAATGCTTTTCTTTTGGTAGTATGTAGAGTACCTTCCTATACTAAAGACACTAGAATATAGGGGTAAAAGATATATGTAGGTACCAGCTTGATTTTTCCATATTTGATGAGTTGTATGGGTGTTGTCTTTAGCAATGGAACCTTGCTGTCACTTTGTGGAGAGCAACCTATGGTCTTGGCAGCAACCTGGGCTTTTTTGGGTTTCCTCTGAGACCATTTTGACCAATAAATCAATTAGATGTAACCGAGTTCTGGTACAGGAAGCTTCATTTGGTGTCAAAAGATGACCAATTAGGGCTCTATTCCCCCACTATTTGGCAATTTTGTTTAGTTATTATGTATTATATATATGAAGGTGATATATGTATGGGAGATTCTACTGTGTTAGGTTTCCATACTACCTCTCAAATGGCCCTTAATTTTAGCTGTCCCTCCCTATATCTTCTCCTGCATCTTCCTTTCCCCTCCCCAACACTTGATCCTCCCATTCCAGGCCCCCCTATCCAAAATAATCTACTTTATTTCCCTAATGAGATTTTGTTTCCTAATAAGACCTATCTGTACTCTTTAGTCCCTTACTCTATACCTAACCTCTTTGGTTCTACAGATTTTAGCATGGTTATCATGAATTTAACCACTAATATCCACATATAAGTGAATACATACTATATTTGTTTTTTCTGGGTCTGGTATACCTCAGGATAGTTCTATCCAGTTCTCTGTGAATTTCATGGTATTGTTGTTTTAATGACTGAGTAGTATCCCATCATGTAATTGTACCACATTGTCTTTATCCATCCTTCCATTGAGAGACGTCTAGGTTGTTTCCAGTTTCTGGCTGTTATGAAAAGAGCAACAATGAACATGGTTGAGCAAGTGTCTCTGTGGTAGGATGGAATTCCTTTGGGCATATGCCCAAGAGTGGTATAGCTGGATCTTGAGATATAGCTGGATCTTGAGGTAGATTGAGTTCTGTCTTCCTGAAGAACTATGATAATGATTTCCATAATGGGTATACAGTTAACTTTTATACTTTATATAAGCCTGTTGGTTTTCAAATGAGGGCCAGGAAGGGAGCAGATCCAGATGGGAGGAGAGCTGCAGAGGAACTGGCAGGAGCACAGGCAGGGGAAACTATATAATCAGAATATATTATGTGAGTAAAAATTTTCAATAAAAGGAAAATGCAAAATAAAAGTAAAAAGGCCAAACTAATTTAGAGCAATCCTATTTTTTTTTAAATAAATATCCAGAGGAGGGGGCTTGAGTCTCTAAGTCAAAAGAAATAGGAAGATAGAAATGTCAACCCCCTGATTTTACCAGCCTGCACTGTATATATACATATACACATGGATCATACTGTGTGTATATACACACACACATATATACATTGTTCACTATATATCTATAGCACATTCTATGTGCACACACACACCATACATTGTATGTATATATATGCATATATATCATGCACTATATATAAAGCACACATCTATATTGTGTGTATACATAAACACATATGTATACCATGCACTATGTTTCTATAGCACACTATATACACACACATATCATGCATTGTATATATATACACATATATCATGCACTATATATATAGCACACTATATACACACACATATATATCATGCACTGTATATATAAAACACACACTACATATACACATATGCATATATCATGCATTGTGTGTATATGTAAACAGAGGCTTTTCTCTGTCCTGCCCCATCCTACAACCACTTCCAAATAGTCACTCAGAGGCTTATATTAATTATAAATGCTTGGCTGATGGCTCAGGCTTATTACAAACTAGCTCTTTCATTTAAGTTAACCCGTTTCTACTAATCTATGCATCCCCACATGGCCAGTGGCTTACCAGTCCTTCGGAATCTTGCTCCTTGGGCAGTGGGCTTGCGTCTGCTGACTCCACACTCTTTATCCCAGTCCTCAGATTGATTTTTCCACCAAGCCTTATTCTGCCTGGCTATTGGCCAAAACAGCTTTATTATCAACCAATGAGAACAACACACGTTCACAGCATACAGAATGACCATCCCACAGCATGTATACATATACATACATATATATCATGCACTATATATTACACACACTATATATATATATATCATACACTGTGTATACACACAAATATATCATGCACTATATATATGCATATATAGACAATGCACATATATATATGTGTATAGGTGTGGGTGTGAGTTTGCATGGAAACACTCCATATGCCCTATAAATATGTAGAATTAGCTTTCTGAGGCGTGGTGTTGCATGCTGCAGAGCTCCGTCCGGCCTGCTCCCATCCTGACTCACCGCTGTTCGCTCCTGCTGAGGAACAAGTCGGTCAGAAGCTGTGCCGCAGCCATGGCTTTTAAAGATACCGGAAAGACGCCCGTGGAGCCCGAGGTGGCGATTCACCGAATTCGAATCATGCTCACCAGCCACAACGTGAAGTCGCTGGAGAAGGTGTGTGCTGACTTGATCAGAGGCGCAAAGAAAAAGAATCTGAAGGTGAAAGGACCGGTGCGCATACCTACCAAGACACTGAGAATCACTACAAGAAAAACACCTTGTGGTGAAGGTTCCAAGACGTGGGATCGTTTCCAAATGAGAATCCACAAGCGACTCATTGACTTACACAGTCCTTCCGAGATTGTTAAACAGATTACTTCCATCAGTATTGAGCCAGGAGTGGAGGTTGAAGTCACTATTGCGGATGCCTAAGTCAACTAAATAAATTGACTTGATCACTGGTTAAAAAAAAAAATGTAGAATTACATGTTAAATGTTTTTAGGAAACAAAAATATTAAACCATTCAGACACAATATTTAAAAAAACAAGAGCAACAATGTTAATATGTATTATACATTTAACTTTTTATATATTTTATGTTTTATTCAGTTAAAAACATTATGAGATATAAAGAGTTATATGATGATATAGGGCTCAATTAGATGACAAGGTTTAATAATCTTAGTCACACATTAAAGAACAATGCTTCAAAACACTCAGAATGAAAACTAGCAAAACTAAAAGGAAATAAATATACTCCAAAATGTAGTTGGATGTTTCAACACTCCTCTCTCAGTAATTGATAGAACTGGTGGATGGGAAAGAAGTCATTTTCTCAAATTTTTGCAAATCTTTCCAAAAATGATATATGAAGGTTTCTTTGGGTACTATATTCTCTATAAACAAAACATATGTAAATTAAACATATGTTATACAAATCAGATTTATTCTTAATTTATTCTAAGCCATTGTAAGTTCTGTTTAATTATAATGAATCAAACCAAACTTTATGATTATGAAAATAAAGTAATTATGTAGGACTGGCTTTGCTTTTATAAAATAACAAATATGAAAGTAACATATTTTAAGAATTACACAATGATGAGAAAAACTACTGGAGCTTTTATTGGGTATGTTTGCTTTTATTTCTTTTTGTTATGAGTGCATATCACTGCTTCCGTTAAATCTTGGTTAATTCTCCATTCCTGGTAGTGTGAATTAGTATACATCTAGCAAACCTGCTTGCAGCAAAGCATTCAGAAAGGCAAGGGGTGATCAGGTTTGAAACTGAATAGCTGAGTTCATGAGAAATTGCCAAAAGTCTCCAGGAGCTGGCAAAAGGCAGATAAAAGCCTGATGGGTGCACTTGGGGTGGCAAGGGACCTGGACAGGTTGCTAGGTTTCAAGTGGACAGGACTCAGTATCCACAGCAGAAAGTATAAATAAGGCCCTTAAGTCTTCACAAAACAATGAGTTGGTGTTGAACCTCAAAATGCTGCATCTGGGCTAAAAGGATAAATCAGAAAATATTCATACATCATCATGAGATGAAGATAAAGGAACTTTTGTTTTGACCTGGAATTTCGTGGGGAGGATAGTGCTAGAAACTGGCGACTGTGAGGATCTGGGATTGGACTCCACAACTCCTGCATTTCCAGGAAAACACTCAAATCAACAAAAACAAAAGAAGAGTTACAGGTTAGTAAAATTACAGTGTTTGGTAGAAACACCACATCTGTTTTTTGAGACACAACCTAATTCCAGACCTACACAGACTTCCACAAATGAATCTGCCAAAGATGTAGCCCCATGCGGAGTTAGGAAACCCAAATGCAAAGCAATGTACAGATAAAGCCAGCAGCATGTAAGTCTCCCAAACCTCCAAAAATGCTTGCATAGACCATCTTCCCTGGGAAACATATTACTATGTTTCACACTTAATGTAATTTAAACATTATTTCTTTGAACTATGGTCTGCTGCTTCATAAAAGTCACTGCTATTTGTCACAAACTAATGGTACTTTGAATTTATGGAGGAAAATGCACGAGCTTTACAATCATACATCTCAGCATCAGGGCTTAATAATTCACACATAGTTTTCCATTTTACAGTATTCTTAGAAATATCTAACGTTCTCTTCTGTTTCTCTTGTTGTTCAGGTACAATACGCACACAAACAATACTGCATCTGATTTGAAAACACAAGTTTTAAAATGCAGAGGTTAGCACTAATTTATCCTAAGGTAAGAATTGGAATTTAATTTTTTTATTTGGTGCTAGGCTTTAATGATTTTTAGCACACTTAGTATGTATTTATGCACACACTTGTGCTTAAAACACATATTTGCATATTAGAATTTTTTAAAAACTCTGATAAACAAATCCATTTGGCAAATAAATAACAATGTTGATTTGTGATTTAAATTTTATTCAGTGATATTTAGTAATCAGAATTTGAGACTTCTTATCCAGTGGCCATTTTCTTTTTGTGAGCTCATAATTAGGCTATGCCTGCTTATCTCCTGGATGCATCTTTAAGGATTGAAGCAACTTGGAGATGGCCTTGTTTATTTCATATTAAGTGTTCAACATCACCTACAAACTAAGTAGGTTTAGGATTGTTCCACAACTGATTTGTTTTTCCAAGAGAGTTCTAATTGTGATGGTTTTTTTTTTTTTCACTCAGTCTATTTCTTTGACAGCCAATATGACTTTTATAACTTCAAACACTCCATGCACTATTTGCTATAAAGGATCTTGTCAGAGAAGCAGAAACACAAGACGCCTTCCCTCAGGTGTGTGTCTGGAAACTGGAAAGGCATCCAACTTCATTCACCATGCTTCCCATACTCTACTGGAAATGGGGCCTTCAAAAGACAACTACAATTGGGAAAAGAAGGCAGGGTCAGGCAGGAAGGGAATATTCCAACCTGCTCACCTCAATCAGAAATCCCAGGAAGCCCATTGGGACACTGTGAAATTTCCTTTTAGACCAGAAATTGGGGGTGTCTAATCTGAATTTCAGACATTCTCATTCACAGTTAGAAACTCTTTTGGTCTGTGGAGAGTACATGGCCTAGGTCTTTAAATGAGGGGATGTACTGTTTTATAAAGAAGTTTAAGATACTTGTATATATGTTTTCAGGGCTGACCGTTTGGTATTGGATAACCAGTTGGTGTGCTCTTCCCTGGGGAAGACTGTTTCTCCCACTCTCATTCCTTACTTGCCTACAATCTGCTTTATTACAGGGTTGAGGCCTCATGGTCCTTCCCCATGCACTTTAGCTTGTCTCTGGTTGCTGTCCTTGTTCAGCTCATGTTTAGGCAGTCACGTTGGTGAGACCTTATGGGTGTAACTTCCGGCATTCCCAGGAGATACAACCTCACAGCTAACTCCCTGATACCTGGGCTTAGACAGATTCAGCAGGTTGTACTTACATATTTCGGAATAGATGTAGCAACAGTTAATGAAAAAAGAGGTCATGAATTTGAAAAAGAGCAAAGAGGGGTATGTGGGAGGGTTTGGAGGGGAAAAAGGAAGGGGAGAGATGATGTAATTATATTATAATCTCAGAGTATAAAAAAGAATGTTCTTTAAAAAAGAAAAATTTAAAAAAAGAGGGATTTAAGTATTTCAAAGTATCATGGCTAAGCCAAGTGATATGTTTTCAAGGTATTATTTTTGGAATTGACCCACACTGGGCTATGGGACAAGTCATAAGTAATTACTGATTTCTGGAACATTCTGTGGCTAGAACTCTTCTCGATAAAATCACAACAGAAAAAAAGATACAGACAACTCACAAGTGATGAGGAGACTATTGCACTACTAGGGTAATGGCATGACATGCTCTGGAAGCCAGTGGAAAAGAAGCCCCTTGCATCTTGGAGGATCAATGAGGACTTCCACGACAGACTGAAAGCTTAGAGGAGTTGAAGCGAGCTGGGTGTGGTGGGGCAAAGGGCATGGCAGGTGGCTGAGCAGAAGGGAGAAATCCTGCACACTTAGGGAAGCAAAGTAGCTGTCCTCCAGCTTCACCAAAGTACCCAGCACCTCCTGGCAGCTGCTGTTTCCTAAAACAGTTTGCTTCTGAACTAGCTGATATTGGCAACCAATGTTGACAGGTGGCTTTGGAGTCTGACACTTCTAAGTCATGTCTAAGAATAAGTTCTTCCCAGAAGGTTGCGACAAGATGACTTGTGTGAACTAATTCTTCACAGTGACTTTTATCCAAGTAGTTGAAATGTAAGTCCCCAATTTCAAGCCAATGACTAATTCTGCATAGTTGCTTAGACTGCAGAGACACGATGCCTTTGTGCTCAATTTCTGAAGTTCATTTGGTGCATCTATCTGTAGATATTTAATAACACACTCAAGGTTGAGATGCTGTGCCAGATACTGTTGCTAAACAGCTTGGGTTAGAAAAAGATCAAGCCGAGGGCATCCTTTAAGATCTGTCCCTGACAGTTGTTTAGCTTGAACTGTTTAGGGGACTCCCAGGCAGTGGGATCAGGACCTGTACCTAGTGCATGAGCCGGCTTTTTGGAGCCTAGAGCCTATGATGAGACACTTTGCACAGCCTTGGTGCAGGGAGGAGGGGCTTGGACCTGCCTCAACTGAATGTACCAGGCTCTGCTGACTCCCCATGAGAAACCTTGCCTTGGAGGAGGTAGAAGTTGGAGGTGGGTTGAGGGGAAGGCTGTGGGGCAGGAGGAGGGAGGAGAGGGGAATCTGTGGTTGGTGTGTAAAATGAATAGAAAATTTCTTAATAAAAAAAGATCTGCCTTTGTTCAAACACGTTTCATGACAAATGTTCTATTTAAAAAAAAAAAAAAAACACCCAAACTTTTCAAGGGGTAGTTTCTTATTTTATCCCTGTGATTTAACACATTCTTTCAACAGACCCCCAGTATATATTTTTAAAGCAGGACAATTTAACTATTTTCCCCTTTAAAATAGTATCTATTGTTTGAGAATTTCATGACTATAACAATGTATTTTGCTAACAACATTCCTCCTGCCTCCTCCAACTCCTTCCAGATCTCCCACTTCCTCTTCCCAATTACATATCCTCTGTTTTTTTTTTTTTTCCTTTATAACCCAAAGTCCAGTTGGAGCTGCCTATATGGCCATGGGAGTAGGGCCATCCACGGAATGTAGTCATCCTACCAAAGGCCACACCTCTGATGAAAACTGACTTCTTCCCTCAACAGGCATCTATTGCCAATAGATCTCAGGCAAGGGAGGGCACTTACGGGCTCCTCCCCTAATCATGCTAGAATGTTGGCTGGCTTGGTCTTGTAAAGGCAGCCAGACCGCTCTGAGTTCATGAGTACAAGGTGATGTCATGCCCAGATGACTTTGACAGTAGTCATCCCCAACCTCTGGCTTTCCAATCTTTCAGCCCCATATTCTGTGATGCTCCTTAAGCCTGGCTATTGAATTATTACGGAACTATACCCTACT